GGGAGGAGCACGAAGGACGTAAACATATCAGCAGAATGATTGATAATTAGGAGGACCACTTATTTAGATGATCCACCCGGAAATAAAAGATCTATACCTTTAAATGAGATCATACTAATTCTAAAAGATTCTAAGTGGAAGCTTTAGCTTCAAGGTGAACTTGGGATGTTAATTAATTCTTAACATGAGGCCTGTAAAAACGTGCAACTGATAAATGATTGAAATCAATTATGACAGCAAATAGTGAAAGAGTCTTACCTGTTTTGTTGAACGTGGTTGGCAGACGAGAGATAAGGGTGCTCCTCTTGGCTTTCACAGGTAAAGTGTTGCCTTTAAATAAAGGCATACTATGTTAGAAAGAAAAGCCTTAGCAAAGCTTTGCAAGAATCAGGCTTTATCCGGACGTAAAACGGTGCGGTTGATTTACATCCTGCTAAGAGATGTGCTACAAGTTCTAAAAGATTTAATGCTTTATGTATAATTTTGATCATTCAAACTTAAAAGTTACATGTATAATAATTCCACATTGGGAAAAGAACAGTTCAAATAAATCATTCCTGTAATAGTTATAACCATAATGAGAATACAGATTAGATAGTTTTTTATTTTCTCCTCACCATGCTTAAAGCTCACACGGATCCTAAAATCCAGTATTTGGTATTTTTTGGCCTCTGTGTTCTTCCTGGGATCGTAGCCGAGCCGGATCCACAAGGTTCTCCAGGGTCCGGTCACCTGCCAAGGCACATCTGCTGTTTAGAAAACGTTACATCTTCTCGGACCGGACTCACATCACAAGTCAAAAGGTGCAGTTTACTGCAGTTTGCTGTCTACAGGTTGAGGCTGCAAACAACATATTAGGGTTAGCAATCAAATTCTGTTTATGAAGATTACATTTTTTGCTGTTTCTTTTTTCATAAGTGCACTCATTGAGCCTCAATACTTAAGAGTTCGTCACTATTTGTTCTTAGATGTGTACTCATAACTGATAAACTAGCTGCTAAAAAATTTGTGCATCGATGCGTTGGCATCTAATATGTTTAAACTACAGAAGAGGATTAGGACCACTGAAAAAATAAAGAAAAGTTAAAGGCATACTATGCAACCGGTGTTGATTTTCCAGCGAGGCTCCCCCCAGAGTGCACTGTCCAAAAGTGCACTGTCCTAAATATGCTCAGCTGTTCTCCTGGTTTCTCCGTCAAGCCAGGCGCGGTTGTTTTGAGCTTAGCAGACAGGCGAACGCAACGAATCACCATGTCTACTGCGGTAAGTGACTATTTTGTTCCGATTTTCGAGTTTGAAAATTCTCGCTGGTTCAGCCATGATAACTGCACAAATATCGCCACTGCGCTAGCATTGAGCATGCCTTTCACTAGGGGCGTGTAGCAGTTCTCACCGTAAAGCAAGAACGACTCTCGCGATGCACGAGACTTCTGAGCCTGTGGGTGCGGGCCGAGGGCTCCTGCAATTGCAAGTACAGTATTTCCCCTACAGACCACCAGGGCGGCAGAGAAAACCTTTGTTCGACCTGAAATGACTCATTTAATCATCCAAAGCGTTATGGAACACATTAATTAACTGAAAAATGTTGCATAGTATGCCTTTAACTGATTTTTGGTTTTCAGTTTAATATGGTAAAAAAAATCAGAATTTTGACTTTAAACTCAGAAATCAGACTGAATTATAACAGCTAACCAACATGTTAGCATCAAGCTGTAGCCATGTCTGTTTTAGAGACTAGCTCTCTTGTTTTAATCACCTTCTGCTCTTCCTTTAATGAAACAGCATCACCGGGAACCCCTATGGCAAGTAAAAAGGCGCCTAATTCCGTTATTTTCCACCAATGTGTTACTGGCTCTCCAAAACAACTCACATCTTTGTCAGTGAAGCTGAGTGATCCTACATCTCTTCCTTCAAGGTGCCCATCTACATTAAGATCTAAAATTCTGAGATTAAAGTCAGTATTTTAAGGAAAAAAAAACTTTTTTTCCCCTTTCTTTTTCCCATAATAAAACTGAAATAAAATTAAAAAATCAGTTAACTTTTTTTAAATTTTCAGTGGCCCTACTTCTCTTCCATATTAAACTGCTTGAATTTCATTGTCCTTTAAATTAAGGTAATCTAGCAGATGGGAAGACTGAAATAAAAGCCAGCTTCAGAAAGCAACGTGACTTGTTATCTTTATTATGAAATGTAGTGTAGGAAAAAATATATATATATTTTGCATTTGGAGATTATATTTTTAAGTCATAGCGCTAAGCCATATATAATTATTCCTTAATCTTGAAAAAGTTTTATCTTTCTAGATTAGGAAAAAAAATTGTTTTTTAATGATTTAGGGAAATATTGTGCAACATTTTGAACCTGTTGTTTTTTTAACTGTTATATAAATAGTAGGATAGGATAATGGTCGGCCTGTTTTAAAATAATAAACTAACTAATAATAAAAAAAAACAATAGAAATATTGTAAAAAAAAAAAAAAAACATTCCCTTAGCATAACCTTCTCAACTTTTATCTAAATTCTGTGTAAGAAACACCACTGTGAGTTTTAAGGTCCTAGTTTAATTTATTTAAATTTACTTTCAAATAATTTTCTAGTTTATTTAGAGGCAGTGGATGCAGTATCCATGTTTTAGCTTCAACAGCAGAAAATATTTCATGGAATTAAAAAAAGATCCAAAGTCTCTGCACAATGCAAAAGAAATTAATATGAGTCAATTTCTCTTAAAATAAATGCATTTTTCTTGAATTAAGCAAACTTTGCCAGTGGAATAAGAACATTTACATTTAAATCAAGGAAAAAAAGCTGCGTTGTCTTGTTTCAGGTGCATAATATCTAATTATTAGACTTTAGGAGTAATAATAATACTCATTCCATTGGCATATCATCTTCTTTATTTGAAGATTGTTTTAGCAGTGCAGTGTTGTTGTTCTGGTTGTGCAAAGCAGCACAGTAACCGGTTTCAGCTTAAACGTAACAAACAGCCTGATTAAGAGGCTCGTCCTGAGCTGAGATTGGCCTCGTTAGCTCACCATGTAATAGGCGTAGACAGGGAGCAGCAGCTTCAGCTTGTCGCGGTGGATGTCCAGGTTGGCCTTGAGGGCGCTCCCAGACCAGATGGGACGGCTCTCAAACATCTGAGCACCAAAATGTTTGGTCAGAGATAAGACAAAACAAACTTGTTTAACATTGCCCAACTTTCCAATGCGATTCTGATAAAAATACCTTGGAAAAAAAACAATGTTGTGTTTCCAGGTGGAAAAAAAAATACCTTTTTCACCTTCTCCTCGGCCTGTTTGTCCATCTCCTTCAGAGAAAGTCTACCCCAATTGACCCGGGCAGCCTCCAGGCACTCGTGTGGTATTGTGGGATCGTTGAAGCTGACGAAAATGGCGTTGTGAGGCCGTCGGGGTCGATTCAAACCAATAAAGTTCTTGCAGGTGGATAAAGGGCTACAAACACATAACATGACAATGTTTATAAAAGACTTTTAGCTCTGATATTTTCACTTTTTGGGGTTGACCTACAGAGATGAACTGAGCTTATTAATGACATCAGGCCGGTAATGATAGTCGATAGGACTGTCGAGGCGAGAGAAAATGGCCGGGGGCAGGAAGTAAGGCACGTCCCGCTCAAAGAAGGCTTGATTCTCAGCTTTACGGAGGATGATTTTATCGTAAAGAGACGTGTTATTTCCATCCTTGGAATCTACAGCAAGACACTGAAAGTCGGCCATCCCTGCAGAGCATAACAAACAACATTTATTTAAGAGACAGAAAGCCACTTACTGATCATTATTAAGAGTAAAGATGAGGAAAAATGCCTCAAAGTAATCATTCTGATATCCATTTCTTACTATTCTTCTAAAGAATAACTTGAGTTTAATATAAAGTTGGATTTTTACAAGTCATTAAACCAACACTGTGGAAAAAAAGAAATTATATATTTTAAATATATATGTATATATATATATATATGTAAGCTCCAAAAACATCCAATAGATCTTTTTATCAGCAGTACACCTTAACTTTCCTCATTTTTTAAAAAAATTAAAATTTTCAAATTTAAAACCTTCCAAGCCATAAAAGATGTTTTTAAATCTTACCCTGGAACTTATATGTTGTTCCAATGATTCCCAATATATCCATTTGGATCTGAGCATCCTTGGGGTCCTTTTTTCGCACCCGCCGTCGCACCCTGAGAAGAACGTTGCTTGATGGAAGCCGGTTTCCACACACAGCGTGACAGAAGGGGTCTTGGGGTCGGAAGCGCAGCTCCAGACGTCTGCTAGGGTCACTGAAGGTCTGTGAGAGAAAAAAATAAAATAAAATTAACAGCCAGTTAATTACTACAATAATTACTTTCTAATTAATAAGCTTGGAATCATACTAAAGTAAAATATATGTCTTTAAAAAAGTAAGCAGACGCATTTATCATTGAATGTTTTATGTCCAATTGAAGTCAAATAAAAAGAGACTCAAAAGCCATTAGTCATTATAGGAGCGGATTTAGGAAATTTGGGGCCCTTGGCAAAGACAGGCACAGGGGCCTCTTAATTGAAAAGACAACAAATAAAACAGACCCATTATACAGATACAGAAATCTTTATAGAATAGACATAGATTATTTGTTTTACCCTTTGTCTCTCTCTTCTTATCCCCTTTCTTGCCGTTTTCCTCTCTGTTTTCTTTTGTCTCTTTTTCTTTTCATATTGGTAATGTGGACGGCTGACTTTTCATGCCGTCTCACAAGGAATTCAAGATTTTTTTCCCCAATCACTAAGCTCATTCTAAATCTAACTGATTGCTCCTTCCTGTGTTTCCAAAAAGGCGACGGTAAAAGTAAATAACCCAGTCCTTCTTTTCACTGTAGAAAAGCCATGATCTGCTTATCTGTTCTCCATTTTTCTTTTGTATTAAATAATAGCTGCATGAATCATGACAGCAGAGAGAGGAGAGCAGGAGGCAGGATTATAATTCTACTTGCTCTGGAGAGCAGAGTTCGGTGCTTTTATATGTTGTCGCCAAAGTCTCCAGTAACAAAAAAAAAGTCAGTAGATTTGGCGTTAGGCGTTTATTTGTAATAAAAGAGGTAGAGGGGTCTGAAAAGTGGCTAAATATAGCGACTAAAGAGCTAAGTTGGCAACACTGCACTTCCCGCTGTTTGTTTTTATAAATGGTTTGCTGCTGTTGTGTCTCTTGATTCTCAGAGACACACTTAATATTAGAAGCATTCTGTTGACCTTTTAATGAACTTGGGGCTTGAAGGAACTTGGGGCCCTAGGCATCTGCCTAGTTTTGCCTAATGGTAAATCCGCCCCTGAGTGATTAACTCCAGCATCGAAGCTGTAAATATCGAACATTAAAGTAGTTAGAAATTCCAGATTTGTTTTCAAAGCACACAGAATAAAACCCAGAAAGAATCGGTCAAAGGACCTAAACACGTCTCTAAACATAAGCTTACATTTTTGCCAAATTCCTGTTAGAGTCAGGTCTTTTTGTTATGAATTCACTTTAATCTAAACCAGGTCGTAGATTTCTCCTTACCTCAAAAAAGCCGATTCAAATGGCCAAATAAAAGTGTCCACTATCAAACTTAAATATGTTCAGGTGTGTTAAACAATCACAACATGAGGACTATCGTGGGACAATACTGAAAAAAGCATCCCACTGTAGCTTTGTCTCAGTATAGATTTATTTTACTGATGGGAACATTAACCTCTGACCCTGTCTTAGGTCTCGTCTAATCATCGACCAGCCTCCTAAATGTAGATCAAGGGTAGGAAAATGCACACCACAATTTTCAGCATCATTCTCCATCCATCTCATCAATGTGCACAATGTTGTTTTGGTTTATCACAAAGCTGCCCAAAGTCCAGTCCTCTAGAGCTGCTATCCTGCAAGATTTCAGATCATCCTTGCTGCAACACACACAAGCTAAATGGATGCGTAGTTACCAGGCCAATATAAAGCTGAATAAGTGGATGAACATAAAAATTAGCCTTTTGATTCAGGTTTAGTGCAGCAGTAATGCATTAAATAGTAGCAGGAAAAGGAGTCAATGGCGTAACGACAACAATAGGATCGTAAGCCATATATTATCTGGGTGGGCCCCATATGAAGTAAAAAACATGATAAAGGTTTAGGATATGGTGATAGTTCCATAAAACAGCCAAGGAGATACAATTATGCAATTCTCAGCATTATATGATCACACATCACACACGGAAAAATATCACTGCGCACCTTGAATGGAACCATTGGTGACAGCGCACAACCACCTGTTACAGAGATCCCAAGTTCCAAAAACTCATTTCAGTGAGGTGCTTATCGAACCCCCCGCCGCCCCGTAGACAACCGACCTGAAATGTGCCCCATACATACACATTTCCTCGTTCTTCACCTTCACTACACATGGATGTACTTGAATTTATTAGCACAACAAGCCATGGGGCTACCTTCAGCGTCACAGCCCCCCTCCTCACCAACGCTCTCTCTCAATAAATCGCCTGGTCGCAATCTTCACTCACTGCAGCGGAAACGTCCTCTATTTTGGGAAGTTTTCTCCTTTCTTCCAGCAGCTCTTCTTCCCTTTTTCTTTTCTGGAATCCGTGTAACTACCTGTTTTTGGTATCCATCGTTGCTAACACATTGTACGTAACGGTTATGGTTTTAATCTACGCTCTGGGTTACCCATAATTCCAAGTTGCAGTGTAAAAAATAAAATACTCAAATACATTGTTCTATTAAGATCTTTATTGCGGTTTGAAACATATTATATGAGTGTATGTTTTACTAACCGTCTAATGAACTCTACACAGTTATTAACACAGTAATTAAAAGTTAACCTGACTCCGCCAGATGGATTTGCTCCGCATATCCATCTGGAAACCTTCCGTTGAAGTAATTTTGGGAAGGGGCGAAAATACTGGTTGGCTGATTGGCCTATGTTGGTGATAGACGGGCCAAATAAACCAATCAGATCAACGAAGCATATGACGTACTAACAGAGCGACGACGAAAACACAACCACAAGCCAGGCTACTCTTTCCGAAATCAGTCGGGAGAAGAGCAAAAAAATCTTTTCCTCTGAGAAAAGCCTCCAGAGCAGTGTTTTGCTCTTCTTTCAGTGAAGAAATACTCTGTAATTCCGATAAAACTTGCGCGATAGCCACGCTAACACTAGTTTCATCGGCTGAAGCCGCCATGTTCTTTAGACTGAACTGTCGCGCTTCTCGTTGCGTCACACCTCAACCCGCCTCAAAGCCAACGCTGATTGGACGTTCGTTTGGTGAACGGCTCCAAATTTTCTTTAACGGAGAGTCTCCAGACTGATTTGCGAGTGAAACCTTGAAAGCTCGCGAGATCAGAATGGTCTCACGAGGCTAATTAAAAGTACCACTGTCTGCTTTGCTATTGGTGTCGTGTTTAAACGGCTCACCATCATGTTGAAATCTGCCATGTATTGTGGTATAAATACGGGTCGGTGTGATTACATCAGTATCAGGTGGGTTTAAGTGGAATTTTTCGCACCATTACATCTGCAAAGAGGCTTCCGAGTCTACAATAGTGTAGGAGGACTACCAGGTGTCAGTGACGGGGCCCCTAAGAAGTCGTGGGCCCCTGCAGTCTCTGCTTACCGATATTTACGCCATTGATAGTAGTGCTTGAAAACTGAAAATTGCAACTTGATTTGTTTAAAATTATCATTGATTAAACTTTAGTGCTCTCACATTGGAGAAATTTTCCTCTGCATTTAACCCATCCCCTCGGGGAGCAGTGGGCTTCCATTGCAGTGTGGGGTAAAGGATCTTTGCTCAGAGAGACAGAGTGGCAGTCTGTGGGAGTGGGGATCGAACTCAGAATCTCAGGATTACAAGCTCTATGCCTTAACCACTTGGGCACCACTCCCCACAATACATCTCAATATGTAAATATGAAAAATGCCGTTTTTAAGCTTTGTTTTCACTTAGGGGTGTGCAAAATAATCCCCATGATGATGCATCGCGATTCTAATTTTTGTGATCTACTGCATTGATTCTTGACGCCAAGTATTGATTCTTAATTTGAAAAAAGAGGAATAAATAAAATACATGAATGGTGGGCGCACATCAGCCAAAAAAACAAGTGGAAAATCAACTTCCAGTCCAGTAGATGTCGCTGCGGATGTGTTGACGTCCCCTGCCTTGTGTCACAAGCACTTCCGGCCGCAGGATACACTGTTGAGTCATTATGTCGCGTCATAAACAAAACATCGAAGAGACTGATAAAAATTCGCCGGGCTCCATCACATTTCAAGTCAGATGTTTGGATCCTTTTTGGCTTTAAAAACAAAGAAGGTAAAAACGAAATTGATATGACGCACATAATTTGCAAAAGGGGAAATGTCAAACATTTGAATGTTTTCGATTAATTGGTTTAAAGGACCACTGAGGCCATGTAAACGGCACTGATCATCCTTATTTTGTTATTTTAAGTTTTATAAATCCTAAGCACTTTTTGTCAGTGTGTCCACTCCAGTAATAGTAATATTTGTGTCCAGTATTTGTTTTCGTGGCAAAAGTCTTTTCAATAAATGCAGGCATGTATGAATTCAGTTGCTTTCAGTTATGTATCAATTTAAGACACTATCCAGATCATACACAGCCAGTCAGCCACTGGTAATGGCTGTATGCTTTTCCAACAGTGTTTAGTTAAAATATCGCATTGTAATATTTCAAGTATCGTGATGCATCGTGATAGAATCGCATGGTGGAATGTGAATCGTGATTTGAATCGAATCGTGACTTCTTTGGCAATACCAACCCCTAGTTTCACTTGCATTATATGAAGTAAAAGCTCATATTCTAGAAATTAAATTTTCACCATGGTCCATTTTAAAGCTTTTATGTGACCTGAAATCTGTGATGTTTGAACCATTTAAACAAACAACATCCGTGGTTTTAAGTTAATTATCCAAACCAACGAATAAAACGTTTTTCTCTAAAATTAGATAAGAAAACAATTACACATTTATGAAAAAGCCTAAGAGACAATGAAAACAATTTAATTTATTAAGACTAGTATACTATTAAAAGTTTGAGTTTTAAAGCATCAGTTAGCTTTCAGAATGGCGGTTCCGGTGCTCCGATACCACCTGTTCTGCTTACTTTGGTCACCGTCTGTTCTCCCCCCAGAGTCTCCAGCATCCTTTCCACGCTGGCCACCATCCCAGGATACTCCACGCACACCAGCTTCTTGTTCCGCAGTTCCACGAGAGACGAACCCCCCGGTGTGGCCGCTTCGCTCCGTGCGGAGAGACTCAGTTCCTTCAGAGTAAAGTGTAACTTCGTTGTTCTGGGATCCACAGCAGCGGCATCCTCGCCAGACGCCATTATGACTGTTAAAAGTGAGCAAAACTACGAGCAGTCGGATCTATTCTGGAGACTCGCGAGCTCGGTTTTGGTGTTGTCGGAACAATTTAGATGTCGTACGCGCACGGTGAGTGCGCAAAATAAGCTCGGGTGTAAAATATGTTTGCTCTGCATATGGTTCCGCGTCAGTTTCTTTGACAAGGTTTAACATCTCAAAAATAAAAAAAATATATTTATATTTAAACACAGATATAACAAAGAAAAATCGAGTGAAGCGTAAGATTAACAGTTTAATTAGGAGAGCAAAAAATAAAAAATACAAGCAAACAGATAAAACTTAAAAAGAAAAAAGGTATTTGTTCAGCACATTTTGTATGATTTTATTTTTATTGCATATATATTTTTTGTTGCAATTCTGTTGAGGCTTACTAATGTTTTTATTTTAAGCTTACTACTTTCTATTTTAAAAGCTCTTCAAATTAACATGTATCACGATTTCCTTGTCAGCTTGACCAAACCTGGAAATCCAGTTGTCCATTTTCCATTTAAGGATATATTATCTTACAAGATATATTTTTTCTTAACGTCTAACACCATATACATTGAAATTGTAAGAGAAAAAATAATTTGAAAAAAATGAATTAATATCTTTCACTTAAAGCTACACAATTTCTTGTTTCAATAGCTAAGGCCCTTGTATTTTGAAATCATGCATGAAGTTATTTAGTGACCTAAGTTTATGAAATAGAGGCAAGATTTATGTGAGATTTCTAACTTTCAAAGTTATGAATCAGAAGTAATTTAATTAAATAAAGCAAAATATTCTTAGGTAATTATCAGTGTGAAAGTTTGCACCATTTGAAAGGTTGTATTGAGGGGTAAAGAAGAGTTCTTCAAGGTTAAAACCCTGATAATTTATCATTTTAGATATATAGTTATTCTTAAATTGGTGTTCCATATTCCTTGCAACATCTTAATTACCTATATTTCACTTAAGGAAACATTAATATTATAGTTTGTAAAAATGTTTTTGTAGAGTTTAAAGGAAATTTTAGAACTGTGATATAAAAGTTTGCTGCTATTGCTAAATACAGTATGTAACTTATGATTTGAAAAATTGATGGAAAATGTCCCCCTTTTAAAAATAAGAATTTATTTCTAAGTAAAAGATTTATCCTTTAGAATAGGAGTAAAATGATGCATGTTGAGCAAACATAGACAATATGATGTTATGATGTTGCTGGCATGAAAAGTAATGAATAAGTCAATTTCCTTTTTTCTATTTTGATGCCATTTAAAACTGTCAAAATAAAACCAGGACTACATCTGTTTTTCAGTGCTTAGTCCTGTTTTTCTCTCAGACATAGCTATGTGCTCAGCTCTTACTGTGACTATGTGCTCCCTCTATCCCTTTTCACACAGATGCAATCATCTGTCTTTCCTTTGATAGAAAAATCTGATTAAAATGTCTCTGTAAAGTGCCTTTAGATTAAAAGTGTGATGAGTTGGTGCTATACAAATAAATTAAATTGAAGTATTAAAGAAATAATATTGCATTTGCTTTGAAAAAAAAGGATCTAAAATAATATTATGGACTGATAACATTTCCAAGTTTGTAATGTGCTGATAAGGGGCTTTATTGACAAAAAATAAGATTTGACCATTAATAATAAAATACACAAGATCATTACATTTTCTGTACAATACAGCACAATACTATGAAGCAATTCAAATTATTTTGTTTAGTTTAACTCACTTTCAATTCAATTCAGTTTATTTATATGGCGCCAATTCACAACACATGACATGACAAAGGCTTTTATTATTAAGGCATAATATTAGGCTTACAGTTGTTTTTTTAGTTCAGCTAAATTTAAACTTTGGATTTTTGCTCTTTTTCACTTGTTTAGAGCATAGGTTCTATTACACTTTGTGTATTTTTAATAATTTAATTTCTATTCTTATATAAGCCGCTCTGAAGATTAATAGTTTTTTTTGTAACTAGAATTGGTAAAAGTAAGGTTGCTTTGCAATTTTTGGCCACATGATGGCAGCATACTCAAATAATTCCATATATAGTTTACAGTTATTGTGAGAACACAGTATATTTCATACATTACAGTACATACTACATTAATTATTTATCTATTAATCAGTATTTTGTCTTCACTAACCTTGTCTTTATTTATTTCTGTAAATATTAAGGATTTATGGCAGAGGGGTTCAGCTGCTTGTAAAAATGCATTCAAGTAATCTGAGAAATCCTGTGCTGAACTGCTCCACCCTGGAACTGTCAACAGATTATCATCCCATCAGGAAGGAAAGAAGACACTATGGCTTTTAGTGTGTTTACTGAGTTATTCAAGATGCCCTTGGATAATTCTTCACTAACTTATTTATTTTAATTCAAGTCTGTCATCTTTTACATTCACCATGCTCTGACGCATTGTTTTCCCCAGCCTGCCTAAAATTCTATTTTTTTTAAAACAATCTAAATGGGAAAAAAACAGGGGCACTACTGTGATTCTGTTTTAGCAATTAGAAAATGTGTGTGAATTTTACTATGTTACATGTTTGTGGTATAAAAAAAAAAAAATGGTAATTAAACCTAATTTCAACTTGAAAATACAGCTAAACTAGAAAAAAAAGGTCATTTAGGAAAGACAGTGTTATTTAGTCCTTGTTTAAAAAAAAAGTAGAAATGTTTAGCTCTATTGCAGCCCACAGGTGCCTAAAATTCCACATAAAATGTTACAGGAAAACCTGAGTGGTAAATCTACCCAATATTAGTCTAGGATTAAAAAATAAATAAAAAGGTTAACAGTTAAAAACATTTCTTAAATATACCCAAGCTGTAAGGTTTAAATTTTTTTTTTTTTTGCAACAGGAAAGCTGCATGTTTTCCAACTCTCCTGACAGCCACTGTAGAGCATGGTGGTGGAGGAGTGATGTTTGAGGCTTGTTTCTAAGCTACCTAGGCAGGAGTTTGCAGAAATCAATTTGACATTTATCCCCCCCGCCCCCATAAATAAAAAAACTCTAAGCGTACGCCATGTCTAAACTGGGTAATCAGCTGGACACTGATATTAAACACAGCAGCCTGCTTAAGGAACTACTATATATACATGCAAATGATGAAAACTCAATTTCTTTCAGGAAATGATTGACAGAAGGCCCAACGGATTGTCGCTGACAATCTGTTTTGTGCTGTGGTGAAGATTTTTTTGATCTTCCGTGTCTCCCCCCTTTGAGTCGGTCAGACCTCGTTCCCGCAGCTCTTGTTGCTATCTCAGTGGAAGAGCTGTCCACTCCTCCCTGACTCGCTGCGGCTGCTGCAGCCGTTACAGTGTGGAGAGGCTATGATAAGCTTATCAGGCGGCCTCCATTGGTCAGCTCGCACTGGAAGAGTCTGCTGCCAGAAGATTTCAACCCTCTGCCTTCACTCATGTTGACTTCTCACTCATCACTTTCCATCCATTTTTTCTCAGCAGCTGGCTATTTATCAGTTAAAGAGGAAATCTGCATTTGGATGCATAATGACTCAAACATTCGAGTCAAAACTTTGCAGTCCTCCCATTTCTTTCGGCAAATGGGAGGATTATTTACAGTTTCCTGGTGTTCAACCTCTGCCTTTTATGTGCAGTAAAAGCATCTATCTTTAAAAATGCTGTTTATATTTATCACATTTTATCTCAATCAAGAGGCAAACACATCTTGACCTCTACACTGAACTCCGCTGTTAATTTGAATGTACTTGACGGGAACTACAATTAAGAAATCTTTTGATGATTTTGTGTAACAGAAGAACAAAACGGCTGGATTTGAGGCAGCTGTTATTCCCAAAATGCCTGAAATAAAATCATTGGCTGTATTTGTACTGATTTGCTCAAAATGCATCATGCAGTATGCAAAGCAGTACAGAGTATGCAAATTATTTAGAGGCCAGGAAAAACCCTACACCTTCATGTCTTAGTGATTTAGCAAGCCCTCTGTGTGATTTAGATCAGCAGAGCTCCAAACTCTGCAAGTCGAAGGAGTAAAATGGCCACAAAAAATATTATGGGAAGAATTTCCACCCAAATGATAAATAAAAGTAAAGAGATTTAATAAAACAGTCAGTTCTTCAGGGCTTTAATGCCTTTTGATACTGTAACCCAAACAATGGCAACAATGCATGATGGAGAGATTCAATGAAATAGCTCCCCCTTTCTTTCCCTCTAAAAAAAATCCAGTGTATTTATATAAATTGCAGGGCAAGAGCCGTTAAATGTCCAAACAGCAGCTTCTTCCCCTTAAACAGGATCTCATACAACATTGTGAGAAAGGATTTTGCCCATTTACAGATTAACTGTGATTACGTGGGCACTCCCAGGCCTGATTACTGTCAGATAAGTGGAAAACTAAACCTGCTCGACAACATGAAGTGAGCTAAAAGATCTTTAAAGGCAAAAACATCATACTGAGTCGTAAGAGATTTAAGAACAAATGGGGAACAAGGTCTCTGACATCTGGTTTAAAAATACTCCAAGGTGTTTATCAGCCGTTGGGATTGCAGAGAATTGCAGTAGGAGACATTTTCTGCAACAGGAGAAAACATAAAACAGTGGGATGTATTTCTAGCAGCAGCTATTAAAGCATTATAAAAAAATTATAGTCTTGTAATTGAGCCACAAAAGAACAAAGAAGAACAGCTCAATAGTTCTACAGTCAGCATTTTGTACTTTTTATTTAACCAGGAAAGAAATCAATTTAAATTTTGAATCTCTTTTACAAGGGTGTCCTGGAAAAAATCAAGATAATCCCAAAGGCATTAAGAACATATTACAAAGATTGAACACATTTAAATTATTTGGAGCGTTTTCATCCAACTACAATATAAATAAAACTATTTAAATAAGTATTTCACACTGTGGATCTAGTGCAGGGGTGTTCAACCTTTCTAGTCCAAAAAGCCATTTTACCTCCTGCCCAGCTGAGTAGAAGTAATTCAGAGCTGCAAATATTACAAAATAAAAACACAATCTATTGTTTTTGTTAAATATCTGCAATTGGAAATATGCTGCCATTTTAAATAAACTGTTTTTGTGTTATTTTAGGTTTTAAAATGAATAAAACATCAA